TTCATCTCAGATACATGCCCCATCTCAATTCCCTCTCATTAAGCTAGAATTCAGTGTGAAATTGTACCATCTCCAGACAAACAGCTTATTTCTAATTTCAAATTGTCATATCTGATATCAACTGTTTCAACCAATCAACTCTCTAAGAATTGGTCATGTGACTTGCAAAACTTGGAGTTATAACAATCTTATATTAAAACGAAGTATGCCAATATGCATGTTATTGTATCTAGAATGAAATAATGTTTTGTAACACAATACCATGCCAGTTTGCATGCCTGGCCTTTCATGTTTTAGTTTTAGAACTATTACAAGTAGATCAAAAAAATAAAATGATACAGTATGTGTAATCCCATGCATATTCAAATTATATGCCCTCAATTACTCTTTGTATTATGGATGCTCATTGGATTATTCATGGCCGCATGATATGAAATAGAATTACTAATTTCCTCGAAAACCTAAATCCTTGCTACCAGGGAAGATGAAAAGTACAAATGACCAGTTAATTAGATCATGTGAGCAGTCAAAAGTACCCTTTATCTTCCCTGCTACCAGGTCTTATAGGGGTTTGAATGGCCAAATGCAATAGAAATGCATATACGAAGCTGTCATCATTAAATGTTGAAAATGAAAGACTACTTATTTGTTTGTTCAAATAGAGTACATAATAATAGGTTATATACTAGATATAGTAATCAAAACAAATAGTAACTGTCATATTTTGCACTACATTGCTCAAAGGCAATCACTGTCTGTATACTATTGAAATCTCTTTCAAAATGATGTTTTATAGTTTGTGGAAAAAAGCTAAATCTATTTAAACTAGCTTTAACTTTTACTGACCATACACTATATCAATAAGGAGTTATCTTTATGTTAGTATAGTCCCTTAAAAAACTTATTTTATTTTCTCTTCATCTATGATTTACTTTGCGCTTTTCACTGAACATCTGGGATCTTTTTAGTTATTTTATTACTAGTATGTTTTTCAGATTTGCCCTTTCTTTTGCATTTTTGGGATCATTGTTTTTGATCATCTACATTATATTTTGGAAAAGTAACAAATTGATTCAATTTCCTTACAAAGAACCACTCTTAGTCCCAACTTCTACAATTGCTTCAATTCCCAATTGTACTCCACAGAGTAGCAAACAACAGAAAATGAATGGATAATGATAGCTGCATCCCAATGAACAAAATGTGATTACCTAAATCGAGGTTTCATCACTTTCATTAATCTAAAATGAATTAGAAATTATTTTTCTATTTTCAAATTTCTTCCATGTGCATGTAATAAAAATTGGTTATGTCTTAGGCCCTAAGGATCTGAAACCTGCTGGTCAAAATGGAATTACGGACCAGTTGCAATGTTATTCTCCTTATACCCAGTGAAAAATTCAACTGGTCTGTATCAAAAATAACCTGATAATGACCAGCGGACTGTCCCTTAGGGGCTACATTGTAATGTGCTGTGAGGTTTAGGCTACAGGGTTTATACCGAGGGAAATATGTGGGGGACCGTATTGGCATCATTGGTTTCAATGCATTGTACTTCTGCCTTAGTTTCAAAGGCAATAAATTCTTTTTGAAGGGTGTCCTGAGATTCCAAAATTAAGAAATAATTGTACTTATTTGAGAAATTGATTTTAAAGTTTTATAAATTGAATTTTCTTTATTTTATTAAATAATATTCTTTGGATTTTGAAGATTTTTTTACATTGCAAAACATTATTTTTCATTCTAGATACAATAACATGCATATTGGCATACTTTGTTTTAATATAAGATTGTTATAACTCCAAGTTTTGCAAGTCACATGACCAATTCTTAGAGAGTTGATTGGTTGAAACAGTTGATATCAGATATGACAATTTGAAATTAGAAATAAGCTGTTATTCCGGTGGGAAATTGTATCAACTCCATTTCCATAGTTTTAAAAAAGGATCTTGTAAATTGTTTCAAGGTATGGTATTTCATATAAGATATCTCTAGGGTGAGACCAGGTGACATACAAAAAATCAAGTTTCACATGGCAATACTAAGTAAGATACAGACCTCTAAACTTTCAAACCTTGATTTCTCAGTTCCGTAAAAATGTGAGATAGTACAAAGTTATTCTCATGCGACGACTTGTTCCAAGGTAAATGTGGTCTAGAATAATGTCATAGACCATGTTCTACGAAGTCTTGTCAAATAAGTTATTTTTATTATTTTCTTTTTAGCTGGGAAGCCTATTTTCTGTGTGCACATTTTTGTTGATATAATGCATATAAAAGTTTCACAATGTCATGACTTGTTAGGACAGATAAGAGTACATCCAAAACTTTTGGAACAATCCTTGGATGTGATATTATTTCTAATAATTCTAAAATATAATTTTAATCTACTTGACTAAGGACATTATTTGGTTTCAAATTGTAACTTTTTAACATTTACAAAATAAACATTAAAAAATGGAATTGACATTTACTTTATTCTGCCTTGCCATACACATTTCTTAACATTAAAACCTTTAAATAAAAAGAATATTGTTATTTAATTCACTTATTGCTAAGTAATTAAATCAGAAAGATGTGGATAATATCCTATCAATAATACTATAGGCTGTTAAAAATCCTATATCTATTCTATTCTATAATTGTAAGATAATTAACTGAAGCTCTGTGTAATAATAAGAATAATATGATTAAATTATACAATATATATCAATCAAATTAAAATAGATATTGCAGTTCCAAGGGAAAATGCAATGTTTTAATCCATGTAGTGCACATTAATCCAATAATGTCCATTAAAAAATAAGCCATTTCAATTGCTTGACGGACATCTGTATCATTCATATTATGTTCACATCATATTTCTATTTCTATAATCTAGTGATCTGAAAATTACAGAAAATTATTTCCTTAAAAAAATATATATACTATAAGTACGCTATTGGTGCACACTCCCGTTTCACAGGAAACAATGAAATGTGACGTTATGAAAAATATTCTCGCAATTTGGCGAACATGTCGACGACGTCATGATTATTCCTTCGAAATTCACTGAAGCATGAACATAAAATTATGAAAATGACACATTACATTTTTATTACCTACATTCTATCTAAGGAATGAATCGATGAAAAGGTATTTCAAAACAAACCAAGCAACTTCAATCAAAACATCGATTTAAAATTGAATAAACATGGAAACCAAGACAAATATTCCGAACTATAAAATTGAAAACTTCGTACCAATCTTCCATATTTGATGAATTTATATGCAAATCCTACAAGATGTAATCATTAATAATATCAATAGATAACCATTACATCAAAATGACATGTGCATCTTTATTTCAAATGAGAATTCATCATGATTGAAAGTTATGATTTGTAGAGAATTTGTTCTGATAACTTTTGATGCGGGACTCATCAATCGCGCGCTTTTTACGTTTTCTCGCGTATTATAACCTATAGCGCGGAAATGTCTCTATTCTTTAAGACTCAAAGAATACGGTATATGTTCATGAAGAAGTATGGTTTACCCTATCATTTGGTACCACTGTAATGTATGGAACATGCGCAGGCAAATAAAAAAGCTATCAAATTATTTCAATAAAATCTGTCCTCGCTAATTCCGATGAAAGGGGACACAAAGTCCCCATTTTGTGTGTAAAATGACGTCAAAACGGTCTATGCACATTTAGTTCAGACTCTGGTATCATTCATTTTAAAAGATGAAAAACTAAAATAGAGTCTCTAATTTTTTAATACATTATAATCACCTGATGCGCAGCTGAGAAAAATATTTTTTAGGACTCAAAATATTAAAATACTCACACTCGCATAGATTGAAAATGCCCAATTGATTTTAACGGGGATTTTTATCACGGAGGCTTCACTTGTACATTTTTCAATATTATATAGAATTTACGAGGTTTATATGCCCACCAGGTCATCAAATATACTTTTTTTGTAGAACAAACATCTTCTCTATTGTTGACCATAAGAATTTGAGATGATTCATTGCAATTTAAAAGACTTGGATGGCTTAGAACATATCTACCGTGGTAAAAAATAACGTAATTTTGACGAGGCTTCACTCCTAATATTCGTACAAAATCCATCGTGGCTGATACGTTTACATCTGAATCATTAATAAGTATAGTTTCAGTATGTTCGTGAAACTTTTCCGGATCTAACAATATAACAACTGTATGACAAACTGCTATATAACTCACAAATTCTACATTTAAGTACTATACGCAGGCTGAATAAGTCAGAGTTGAACACGAGTCACCCACAATTACGATTGCGACAATAGCTATTGTGACATCATACGCTGTTCGTTATTTGTAAATATTTATGCATAGAATTGATGATCCATGAAATAGGGTATTATCCTGAAAATATCATAAACATTGATGGAACAGTTAAAAAGATATAATACTTTTACATACTACATGGCCATTTCGTTTCGTTCCTCGTTGAAACGTTGAACACGCCTTTTAGGGTGTTTTTATTCAATTGAGAGCTATTTCGAATGGCTGTGAATTGAATAACCATAGAGGATATTTCATTAAATTCAGTTCGAATAATTGCCTTATATAATAGCAAGAAGGATATATAAAAATTATTATAAATTATGTCGAAATAAATGTTAAACGAAGACCGAGATCTTTATAGACGTCTTAATTATATTGGCGATTTCAAATGTGTACCAATAGCGTACTTATAGTAATAGCTTTCACATATTCAAATTAAAGTATCTAGGTAAGAAAATTCATTTCAATTCACCCTTTCTCCCCAGGCTTTCTCCCAAAACATTCATCTCAAATGTGATTTTGGCCAATCTAAATTGAAATAACCTGAGAAGGTCAATAAAAAAGACATAAACTGATATCTTTTCTTTAAAGTCAATCTATACAAAACATCCAGAATAATGATATACTTGTCCGAATCCCCATTTACTATTCCACCTCCCTTAAAAAAAATAAAATGAAAAACTTACCTCTACAGTAAGTGTTGAGGATTATGCAGAAAAATTCCAGAATGATGGCTAAAAACCAGATTCCATTCATTGTGTAGATTTGGTTAATCTCCTCGGCTTATATCAAACTAGAACTTCATATTGTGTAGGTTATATCTAGGGCCTCAACCTAGCCGTTGTCTTCAAAACCCCCATAAAACATCCTCAAACTGCTGAGCATGTGAATATACTGTATGCAGTATCTGAAATAGTCCAAAGGTGCACTTCAATAGCAGGTTCAGCTAATGTAATAAGCTACCTTGTCAGCCTTGCTATAGCAATCCTATTTGACTCAATCCATCACATTATGTCCTCTATTGCAGTCTATTTCGTATATGGCTCCCTGATGTAGATATTATGTTTTATTGGCGGTTTTATATGGGTAAGTATTTAGATGAGTGTTGCCTTCTGATTAAAATATCATGACTGAATGCGATCAAACAAACAGTTGAACCCAGTATTTAAATGTTAAACTCATAGATCAGCTTACGTTTATTCTACGCTTTTTCTGTCGAAAACGTTGATTTTATGTCTCATTTTACTGCATTTCTTTACAATTTAGAGTGTTAACGATGAGTTAATAATGCTTTATTCTTTGCTAGTTTCCCTACATTCACTCGTATTTCTCATTCGAAAACATGACCAAGATCAACGTTTGTCTCCAGGTTTTGGTATACTGCTATTGTTTGCTTTGTGTCAATACCGAACCAATCACAAAAGCTGAGATCCTTGTGTGTTTTATCGATGCTTTAAATTGATTTTATTGATCCAAATCTATGCATGCTCCTTTATCAATAAATAAACTTTGCCATTTACAATTGATTTATTTTAGGAGCTTCCTCAGTTATAAATTATTTTGTGTTCTAGTTGAATGAGGAATATTACATAATAATGTTCTATAACTAATAAATTATCTTTTTTTAATTAAAAATACTTATTCTCTTAATTACATAATCACACTTGACACTTTTAATAAGTGTATCAGTGTGAAAACATTTAAATAGTAATCTGAGTCATATGGAAATCAGAAAAAAGAACAATTAAAGTATTTACTCAGTCAAATGAGAATAAAATTGATTACAATTAATAAAATGTACATATATGTTTGTCAATAATTTAGTTCATTCATATTTTGATATCATATGCATTTTAAAATTCTTTTAAAACAGTTAATGGAAGGTGATGTTTTCAAAGAAGTTGGCAGATTATTCCAAAGCTGAGCACCTGAATATTTTATTGAGTGTTGACCTACATGTAGTATAATTGTTCTAAATCTTTTCATGTGAAGACAATTTTGGAATTCTTTAGAAGAGATATATTTCAAAATTTTATTTAGTGGTATGGTACCAAATTTTTCATGGGAGTTTGTACTGTTTATCTAGACAAATACCCTAAAATTCTGGAGGTAACTGTAAAATTTAAGCCTCTGAGAAGCACAAATACTACAAAGTAGACTTTCAGATGTTCATGAGATCTTTCTAGCTTTATTAGCAACTTTTATGGCATTACATAAGAGTTTAAATATGAATTCCGAATGCAGTATTTCATATAACTGCAGTGCATTATATCATAAATCACAGCATCCAAGGTCACACCTAATGTGGTTGTCAAGGACACCTTGACTCTACAGATGAGAATTGATGCTTCGCCAACTTGACCCTTGCAAAAATTCTTTTAGTGATCTTGTATCTTTGAAGTGACACGGTAGAGAATATTTTGCTTACTCAATGCATTTTAGAGTTTCCTTTCAGACGTTGTTTCCTAAAATGAACACTCGATGCTGTGCATCTCATGCAAACTTTGGAAAGCAACGCCTTCGATGAATGGTCATTCCACATTGTCCAGGGCGGGCTCAAATCATTAACAAAATTCAGCTGGTAGAGTCAACCTTGTACTTTTTGTACAACACATCCCTAAGGACACATTCTTTTTTGATTTAAAGAGCCTAAAACAAGAATTGTTTTTTTATGACAGGGGTACTAGATGCAGCTCACTTGAGAAACAAAGTACCATTTTTCTTGATTTTGGTCAAGGAAATAGACGCAGGCCTGTCAACTGTCCCGCAATTTGCGTATTTGTCACGCATTTGCTGAAGAATTTGAAGTCACGCCAGTTTTTTTTTGCGTGACACAAAATTTGAGGTGATAAAAGTTTAGCAAAGGTGCTCAAACTTTGGCCAAAGGTGTTTAAAAGTTGGCCAAAGGTGTTCAAAATTTGGACAAAAGTGTTCAGATTTGGACTTCGGTGTCCAACATTTGTAAGTCACTCATATTAGGTGGTCCCAAGTTGACAGCCCTGTAGACGGCGAACACCGCCTCTAATGCGTTGGATTGTCGTAAGGACTTGCATTCCCTTATTGGCCAACACGATCCATGAATGCACCTATCAAGGAGAGAGCTCGGGAGAATGTGAGATACCTCTCACTAGACTGTAGAGACGGAAATCGGAAAAATGGACTCGATCCAATGTTCTTTGAAACGTACTTCCTTTAAAAATAATGTTGTTTCGAAGACAAGTGAATCAAGTCCGTGATTGGAAAGAGATAAAGATTTAGCGATTCAAAACTTACCTCTCTTCAAACTTTTAAAATCACTGCTTTTAATAGATGGCAGCACTAGTTTTGGCGCAAATCAATTATCATTCGAGAAGCTTTTTATCATACTTGTTGATATGTACTTGTTAGACATAGAAATTAAATTTATTGTACTGATTATATACATTTTGAATTGTTTTTATTTGTTTATCACATGATAATAAGTAATACCAGTGTATTATTCACTAAAACCTAATGACAGGTCCCTGGTTAATTGAAACTCATATTTCGCGTACCATGTAGCTTGAATTAGAAAATAAAATGTTAAAACTATTTTTGATGAAATATCCTCAATACACACCAATATGCAAGGTGAGATCCATATTTTACATTTATATCACAACAAATGTGTCGCACCTACATGTATCATTCATCAACTATGCAATAAAACGTCAATAAATCACCATTGCATTATCAAAAGTTATGGATTTTTGGGATTTTTCAGTTGGCCTAGATTTTTTTTCAGATTTTTTCTGACGATAGAACTCTCCTTACTTTTTGTACCTTTGGGATGCATGTTAAATTGACAAAGTTAGGATTAGAATTTCTCAAATCTCAGCCCATCGATTTTCAAAGAATTTGAAGAGAAATACAGCAAAGCATCTCACATGTCAAAAAAATTTCAACAAATATATCCCATGAAAATCAAAAGTTCTGCTCTCTTACATAATACGAGTACCAAAACGTCATCATATTTATGTACATTGACCAATTCACCACTACCAATGTCATCCATCCGCAGAAAATAACCCCAAATATTTTACCTTTCACTGTTAGAATTAGGATCACATGTTTCCCAGTTATTCTGGGCATTATATGCCAGCAAATGAGAGTATTCTATTCAAAGATGGTGCTGTAGTATACCATTAAAGTCCCCAAACAGGTTTCTAAGAGAACTACTTTCCTCATACCACAAGATAAACAAACCGAGTAAGGATATTACACTCGACGCGAGACTAAAATTTGGACTTATTACAGTGTGTTGCAAAATGAACGCTGAAATGTGATACCTTTTGATTTTAAAACAACCTACCCAGTGACCATGTGGACCGGATTACAGAATGGGACTAGGCCGGGGCCGTTCACACTAGAAAGGTCTTGACGGGGGGGGGGGGATTTCCCAAAGATGACCTTTCATATTGGCACGTTCGTTAACAACTTTTGGAGTCTAATTTGACTCTTGTCACATGTCATGTATTTGTGGTAAAACTCTTGAGAATATACATAAGGGGACATAAAGAATTACAAAAGCTATGGAAATTACATGCTGTCGCACATGTAATAAATTCTAACTTCAGTGTATTCAGTGCTCTATTTTCTCCATCCTAGTAAGTCTTCAAATGTTGAGGTGATTTTGGAGCCGGATTACGCCGCAATGTGGATTGGCTCCCAGAATGCAACATGACACGTGTCAGCTTTCAAAATGCCATTCTGCCATTTTGAAATCTGTCACGAGTAAATAAGGTTACCTGATGTTGCATTCTGGGAGTCAATCCTCCTTGGATCACAAACATGTCGATTCATGAAAACACTCGTTCGATTTGGTACCGATTTATCCATCATTTGCAGTGATGAAGCTTTGGATTAATTTATTGTGCTACTTAAAGTGAATGGGAATTATTTTTCTACCGCTTGGGAGAGTTTGAGACACGAAACTTAGAATTTAGCTCATTGTGACAACTTTTGAGGGTTGAGATTTATTTTTGTCCCCCACTTTAAAAACTGAATACAAACAAAGAATTGGAAGTCACACACTTTTGAAATGTGTATTGTGATTAAATTAGCAAATAATCTTCAGTATTTCCAATCTTCAATCTCAATGTCTCAAAGTTTGAGATGTCAAAGGTCAAACTTTGTATAAGTTCAAAGTCACACGATTGAGGATTTGTAGTGATGACCCAAAAAATCTGGGGTCTAAATATTTTCTGGTGATAACCTTGTCTACAGATCTACACTGAATTCTAAAACACTCCAATTTGTCACATACTTTTCATCCCAGTATTTGTGAGCTGCCCTATTTATGCAGGTTCTAACTTGTTTTTAGTGGTTTCTTCTCTCCAAGGGATTTCACAGAAAATTTAGCATCCAACTTAAGTCAAAGACACTTCAAAATAAAAATGGTGAGAATTCAAACCCCGGCCATCTTGTAGGGATTCATATGAAGTGAGCCACTTTCAACATTGCATCTTGGCTTAATTGGTAATGTCTGTCAAGTTGAAAAAAGTCCCAAAAATACCTTAGACCTTACCTTAAATTGCTTACAAAGTGGATTAGGCATGTTTTAAAGTATATCATATCATATCATATTATGTCATATCATATCAGATAGCATATCATATTATTTGCAGATCTAAATGTTTTTCTCTTTTACAAGTGGATCTATCTACCATATTTTGACTGTTTCCAGGGACAAAAAGTCTACATGAAGCTGCAAACAGAACAGCCATGATACTTCATCCTTGACTCCCAAAACCTAAGATGGGTCCAGTCTTCTTTATAGTGTGGACTATATGGCTGTCTGTGCAGGGAGTCTGCAGTGGGCATAAAGAAGAATGGAGAGACATTGGTGATATTCTTCAACCAGATGCAGAGGACTTTGATTTCCCAGATGCCATAGCTTATGTTGGAAAGCTGTTCCTTTATCCCATTCCTTCTGAATTGAAAGCAACCTCTATAAAGGTATGTATGGAAGAGCCAGTGTTCAACATTAACAGTTGTGGAAAAATTGACACCATTACTAGAATATTATAAGAATAACTGTTTCCAAGAATTTCAATGATTAGTTTTGTAAACTTAATTTAGGCAATCAATATGAAGTTTAATGATGATTGCATTTTTACATGAACAGACGACACCGTTTACCTTGCAGCATACCCTTGTAACACCACACCCCTTACACCTTACCTCCACTAGGTGAATGATGAGGGATAAGACTTGATCCAAGACTATGACACTGTATTCAAATTTTCCTATTGTTTTCCAGGTTGTAGAGGCAGGTAAAGGAACCTTACCTAACTGGTTACACTTCAATGATTCATCCAACATGCTCCAGGGATTACCCACACTATCAGATCAGGGTCCTGTTTACATCAATGTCCACATCACAAATCCAATAATGGATAATACACAGATATTTCAAATAACAGTCAAATCATTGCCAGCTATAGTTAACTTAAAGGCTGTGAAACAGTTGAATTACATATCAAATAATATGCATCATAGAGAATTGACAGAACAGTTCATGACTTATAAATCATTTACCTGTGAGCCATATGAGATTACCTTTATTGCCACATTACAGGTAAATATAGACATGGAGGATATATCTGCCGAAGAAAGGATTGATATAGTTAGGCGCTATGCTCATTTTGTATCTAAGAACGCTGTTGACTTAACTTTTGTGACGTCTTCCTCTGTGAAACACCCAGATATACACATCTTAGCTGCTGGACCGGGAAATGCTCAAATTGATGAATCCCTCCATAAAGTTGGTGTTGATTTAAGTTGGACTGTAGCATGTGGGACATTTAGTGAAATACAAAACTTTGAGCATGTACTTGAACATAACATTGGCTCCAAGCGAATCCCAGGGGAAATTGGTTATGATGTCATAGGCTGGAGAATTGAATCTCATAGAGCGTTGTCTGAACTCAGACAATCACGTCATCATTTACGGCATATAAGAGCTGTTCAAACTCCCGTCCCTACTCCAGTCTTCACAGCCAGTAGTGTACCAAGCACAGTTGTGATACCTTCACCAGAACAATCACAGACTGCTATGCACAGTGCAGGATCAGGTGTAACTGACCAAGTTCGAACACAGCGATCAACAATAGCAGAGAGCTCTTCAACAATCGATCTAACAGCATCAGAGACAGTTGATATATCGCCTACTGCTGTCCAAACTATGCTTTCTGAATCTGTACATGCATCATCCACATCTGGTCTCTTTAGTGAAGTTTCATCTGATTTTTTGCCATCATCAAGTCTATCTGTAGCATCATCTTCACTCATATCAAGTTCTGCATTAGAGTCATCACTTGATATTCAGTCATCAACTTCAACTCCTTTGTTGTCCAGAACTTCATCCATTGAACCATCATCAAGTTCATCTATAGCATCATCTTTACTCATATCAGGGTCTGCATTAGAGTCATCACTTTATACTCTGTCATCAACTTCAACTCCTTTGTTGTCCAGGACTTCATTCATTGAACCATCAGTAACTTCTGAGCCAGTTTCTAGTTCATTTTCCCGCCAAACAAGTGTCAGTATTGAGTCATCATATGTTGATGTATTTAGTTCTTTAACTATGATTGTAACCTCTGTTATTGAAGACTCAACATCCTTTGTATCTGAGTCATTTTTAACTGAATCTTTAGACTCAACCTTAGTGCAATCAGAACCAAGCATGACAAGCTATACTATTCAAAGTACAGAGCTTGCAACATCTAGCTTAAGCATGAAGGCCTCTTCAATGTCATTTGATGAAAGAACGTCATTCACACCAACAGTTGAATTCATGTCATCAACAGTGGAACAATTAACACCTTCATCAGTGTTATCTTTGATGTCATCATCTTCAGATAACATGACCCCTAGCCCTACATCTAGCCATGATTTGCCTGTTACCTCAACAGTATTACAAAGTGAATATTTTACCATTCTGCCAACAGGTTCATCTGTTTCATTTGTGCCAACTTCATCATTTGATTCAACTGCCATTTTTACAACCCCCTTGTCATCATCAAATCTTGAACTTACAAGTTTGACCTCAAATGTGCCATCAGTTGTTATGTCATCAACAGTTGAGGATATTTCATCAACGGGACTCTCAGAGTCCTCTTCACCATTACAGTCACTTACAGCATTATTAACTGCATCATCTGTCTCTGTTATAAGTTCATCATTTGTTGCTTTAGAATCCTCAACAGTAGGACCATCTTTGCCTGTATTCCTATCATCATCACAACCTTTTTCATCTACTGATCTCGCAATCTCTGCTTCAATACTTGATTCAAGTTCAGTATTATCAGTTGCTTCGTCAAGTTTAATTGAGGCAACATCAGTATTCTCTTTGTCAACTGATTCATCATTTTTGCCTGATGCTACATCTACAGCCATACCCAGTTCATCATTCTCATTGACTTCATCATTCTCTACATCTTTTGGACCATCTATCATATCAACATCAACTACTCTAATCTCTGATTTCCAAACAATGATTACATCAGCTTTCATAACATCATCTTCAATTTCACCATCGTTTGTGTCATCAACAGCGACAAGAGCCTCCTCATCATTTCTGCCCTCTTTTACAGAGTCTTATTCAGTGGTAAGCCCCTTATCATACAAATCAACCACAATGTTTATACCAGTGTCTACACCAGTTACATCATCTCTTATGGTTATATCATCAATTTATATCTCACAATCCTCATCATATGAACTACCAACAATGTTTATTTCATCTTCTTCACCAATTTTATCCTCTCCTGTAGTGTTTTCATCATCAAATGATTTTGTCAGTTCAGCTGTCATTTCCTCTACCAGTTCATACTCTATACAGTCAAGTCAAGCATCATTAATATCAAGTGAGATCATCCTATCATCTTCAACTGATCTTTTCAAATCATCAAGCTTTCTCAGTCCATCCTCAAGCCAGTTTATCTCAACAACAAGTTTAGTCTCTTCAATATCCAGAATGTATTCTTCAACGGTAGATGCAATTGTGTCATCAAGTAATATGGGATTATCATCATCTAGTATCTCGATGTCCTGGCCAACATCTACCAGTCTGCCTGTATCTAGTACTCAGCCTGTGGTCACCACAACAGGTAAGCCCAGATTTGATTTGATTTTAGAAAAGTTGAGATTTTAAGCTAATTTTTTTAAGCAGTTTCATGCAAACAAAGAAGGAAAATGAAAAATGAAATGTTTAAATAGGAATACTAACTTTAAATTATACACTTTTAGAGCTTGGAGTGTTTCTTAAAAGAAGATTTCACTGTACATGTACTTAACTTTTTGAAATTTTTAATATTTCAGTGGCACCTGACCATCCTCCTGTCCTATACAACCCCATAGATATTATTAATGTAAGACTTGGAGAATACTTTACATACAAAATACCTAGTGATACCTTCCATGACTTTGAAGATGGCGACACAAACAAACTCAGCCTACATCTACAGCCTGTTGAAATTGATACGAACATTGTACGAACTTGGGTAAAACTCAACACATCGACGAGTATAATCTACGGACTACCTGTTATGAATGATCTCATGCCTTTTTCGGGCACAAGAGTGCGAGTGGAGTTTATTCTCACTGCTGAAGATACTAGTGGATTACTGGCGCATGATGCCTTATACATCGAAATTGATACAACAAATATTTATACACTCTCATTCATATTTTATGCAACATTTGAAATGGATTATACAACATTTATAAAAGATGTGGATATTTTGATACAGTTGCTTTCTAATGTTGGTGCTTTTTACGGGGATGATAATTTAGATTTTATAACCGTATATAACATTTTTGAAGGCTCTGTTGAGATAGCATGGAGCAATAACAGTGTAACATCACAATATTGTGATAATACAACGATACGTACTTTGTATGAAAAACTCATACAAACGGATAAAGGATCTCAAATGGAAATACCTAGTCAGATATTTCAGAATACAATGCTGCCTTTTATAGTTAAAAGTGTTAATTATACCCTTGAAGGGGTATGCCTGGGCCAGGGAATCGGAGTCATTCCGCCCCGGCCTACAGTCATAATAGGACTAGCCACTCAATCACTCTATAACATCTGGTTAAGTACAATTCTACCAGCTGTCGTAATCGCTGTGTTGTTGTTCCTCGTTGGATTAATCCTGTTTATTTTCTACCGCTATAGAAGACACAGGGGGCATATGAAACCAGAGGATAAAGTGACGTATGTTAATAATAGGAAACCTTTGTTTCTTCCGCAAGAGGTTGAGATGCACGAGACACCAACGAAGCCAGCCAGGTCAACAGTTTTGGACCGAGATCGGGAAGATCCATCAGTTAGACACTCTTATCCATCTACATCTCAGCCCACGCCACCTCAGTATAAACTGCCACGGGATGCCATATTTGAGGATATATTTGGACCAGTGAATAGTCCACCGCCATCTTACCATAGTGGAAATTCTACGCCAACTAGGTTACCCCCAGTGTATAAACTACCCCCTCCTTATCAGCCTAAGATGAATTCTAGTGATGTGTAATTTGTATTTTGGTGTGGGTATATACAATTAGCTTACAGTGTTTTCATTGGAATATCTGACAACAGGCAGAAAATGAAAATAATGGGCAAAATAAAGGGAAATTATGATTTTTACATTGAAACAGTATTGCAAAATCCTGAAAAATTGTCTATTGGAAGCTGTCAATGAGTCTCCTGGGCCTGACTTCAGTATTTCATAACTATGTATTTATGAGTGAAACTCGGAAAGTGTCTTTGATAAACAATGTATTTATGAGTGAAACTCGGAAACTGTCTTTGATAAACAATGTATTTATGAGTGAAACTCAGATCAGGGGTCTTCTAAAGGGTCTCATTGTATGTTGACTTTCACATTCTGATCCTATTTGATGACTGAATCAACAAGAATGGAAGTGCCTTGATGAGACCCCCCATCCAATAATTTGAATTTAAAATGTTTGCTGTTCTGATGACATTTGTGAAATTGTGAGTTCTTGCCATGTGATATGCATAACTACTCCAAAGAACAATTAAAAATTGATCGAAGCCAAAAATCTGATATACATGTACCAGTGATTCTTTTGTCGGACCAGGTGCAGTTTACTTAATGTTTAATAAGTATTTATTCTACTTGTATTTTCACAAATGTATTTATTGCTTAAATATAAATTATATGTATAAATATACAATATATGTACACTGATACCAAACATTTTATATAAATCATAACATCTCACATTTTCAAGAATTTTTGAGTATTTGTAAAACAAACACTGATTTTAGTGCTATATTATATATAAAATTAATGAATAATTTATTAAAAAATAAAATGAGAAATTCAAAACGCATTGCAGAGTTTATTTTGTACTTTCAATTTTTCAAATCTCTTGGATTAAAGATACAGAGAATTATCCCATGAAGTTCTGGCCATCTTATATTTCATGTTCTAAATAGTAAGAATAACTTGATACTTTCATTATTCTTAAAGATGGTATATCCTACCTAACAAGCAAGTGTACAGAGTGCAAACAGAAGCACATGTACACTCCCCACAAAAGGTTTGGCAACCCTTACTCCCCTGTTGCATTGGACCACATGTTAATGTGATGGTTCAAGAAAACATTTTTGAAAAATTGCTATACTTGATTACTTGTCCATGTTACATTCTGGTGTAAAAAAAAGTATGAAGGCAAGTGTGTATTTAATTTTTTCATTTCTAGTTCACTAAATACAAGATGCAACAGGGATACTTTCCAGAAAAATAAGGGAGTACACATCATGTCTTCATACTTTATTTTGTACCAGAAAATAACATGTGCAAGTGAAGCAATTTTTTTCTCTATTTTTTCTTGAACATGTGCCTAAAAATCCTGGTTAAGTCTGGCAGTTTTATCAAATGTTATTTTCCATTATTTTGTGGAAATTTCAAATATTATACTGGGCCTTGCATACTTTCCAATGTGAAGCCAGAATTGTGAAACTTTTAAAGTGGAGTGTATAGCAAAAGATTATAAACCTATTTATCCACCAGATGGACAAGGTACATAAAGTTGGTCTTTGATAACACTTTAACACCTTGACCCTTTTGGTAAATGTTCTTATCTTTAAGACTGATATTTTTACTTTCCATTCCAGTCTTCGCCGAAATAGCTCAGTTGGGAGAGCGTTAGACTGAAGTGGTACAATCCTTGATATACCAGGAATCTAAAGGTCCCTGGTTCAATCCCGGGTTTCGGCAAGGAAAACTAGCAATGACTATTTTGATCAAATCTTATAAATTTTGCCATCATGTGAAATAGCTTATTTTAGTGTCAATGGCTAATTTCATCAATAAGGTTCCGTGGTGTAGTGGTTATCACATGTGCTTAACACGCACAGGGTCGTGGGTTCGAGCCCCACCGGAACCTCATTTTTAATTTCAGCTAGAAAATAACATGAATAACCCAATGAACCTCCCCACAAAAGGTTTTGTCAACCCTTACTCCCCTGTTGCATTGGACCACATGTTAATGTGATGGTTCAAGAAAACATTTTTGAAAAATTGCTATACTTGATTACTTGTCCATGTTACATTCTGGTGTAAAAAAAAGTATGAAGGCAAGTGTGTATTTAATTTTTTCATTTCTAGTTCACTAAATACAAGATGCAACAGGGATACTTTCCAGAAAAATAAGGGAGTACACATCATGTCTTCATACTTTATTTTGTACCAGAAAATAACATGTGCAAGTGAAGCAATTTTTTTCTCTATTTTTTCTTGAACATGTGCCTAAAAATCCTGGTTAAGTCTGGCAGTTTTATCAAATGTTATTTTCCATTATTTTGTGGAAATTTCAAATATTATACTGGGCCTTACATACTTTCCAATGTGAAGCCAGAATTGTGAAACTTTTAAAGTGGAGTGTATAGCAAAAGATTATAAACCTATTTATCCACCAGATGGACAAGGTACATAAAGTTGGTCTTTGATAACACTTTAACACCTTGACCCTTTTGGTAAATGTTCTTATCTTTAAGACTGATATTTTTATTTGCCATTTCAGTCATCGCCGAAATAGCTCAGTTGGGAGAGCGTTAGACTGAAGTGGTACATACAATCCTTGATATACCAGGAATCTAAAGGTCCCTGGTTCAATCCCGGGTTTCGGCAAGGAAAACTAGCAATGACTATTTTGATCAAATCTTATAAATTTTGCCATCATGTGAAATACCTTATTATAGTGTCAATGGCTAATTTCATCAATAAGGTTCCGTGGTGTAGTGGTTATCACATGTGCTTAACACGCACAGGGTCGTGGGTTCGAGCCCCACCGGAACCTCATTTTTAATTTCAGCTAGAAAATAACATGAATAACCCAATGAACCTCCCCACAAAAGGTTTTGTCAACCCTTACTCCCCTGTTGCATTGGACCACATGTTAATGTGATGGTTCAAGAAAACATTTTTGAAAAATTGCAATACTTGATTACTTGTCCATGTTACATTCTGGTGTAAAAAAAAGTATGAAGGCAAGTGTGCATTTAATTTTTTCATTTCTAGTTCACTAAATACAAGATGCAACAGGGATACTTTCCAGAAAAATAAGGGAGTACACATCATGTCTTCATACTTTATTTTGTACCAGAAAATAACATGTGCAAGTGAAGCAATTTTTTCTCTATTTTTTCTTGAACATGTGCCTAAAAATCCTGGTTAAGTCTGGCAGTTTTATCAAATGTTATTTTCCATTATTTTGTGGAAATTTCAAATATTATACTGGGCCTTACATACTTTCCAATGTGAAGCCAGAATTGTGAAACTTTTAAAGTGGAGTGTATAGCAAAAGATTATAAACCTATTTATCCACCAGATGGACAAGGTACATAAAGTTGGTCTTTGGTAACACTTTAACACCTTGACCCTTTTGGTAAATGTTCTTATCTTTAAGACTGATATTTTTATTTGCCATTTCAGTCATCGCCGAAATAGCTCAGTTGGGAGAGCGTTAGACTGAAGTGGTACAATCCTTGATATACCAGGAATCTAAAGGTCCCTGGTTCAATCCCGGGTTTCGGCAAGGAAAACTAGCAATGACTATTTTGATCAAATCTTATAAATTTTGCCATCATGTGAAATACCTTATTATAGTGTCAATGGCTAATTTCATCAATAAGGTTCCGTGGTGTAGTGGTTATCACATGTGCTTAACACGCACAGGGTCGTGGGTTCGAGCCCCACCGGAACCTCATTTTTGATTTCAGCTAGAAAATAACATGAATAACCCAATGAACCTCCCCACAAAAGGTTTTGTCAACCCTTACTCCCCTGTTGCATTGGACCACATGTTAATGTGATGGTTCAAGAAAACATTTTTGAAAAATTGCAATACTTGATTACTTGTCCATGTTACATTCTGGTGTAAAAAAAAGTATGAAGGCAAGTGTGCATTTAATTTTTTCATTTCTAGTTCACTAAATACAAGATGCAACAGGGATACTTTCCAGAAAAATAAGGGAGTACACATCATGTCTTCATACTTTATTTTGTACCAGAAAATAACATGTGCAAGTGAAGCAATTTTTTCTCTATTTTTTCTTGAACATGTGCCTAAAAATCCTGGTTAAGTCTGGCAGTTTTATCAAATATTATTTTCCATTATTTTGTGGAAATTTCAAATATTATACTGGGCCTTACATACTTTCCAATGTGAAGCCAGAATTGTGAAACTTTTAAAGTGGAGTGTATAGCAAAAGATTATAAACCTATTTATCCACCAGATGGACAAGGTACATAAAGTTGGTCTTTGATAACACTTTAACACCTTGACCCTTTTGGTAAATGTTCTTATCTTTAAGACTGATATTTTTATTTGCCATTTCAGTCATGGCCGAAATAGCTCAGTTGGGAGAGCGTTAGACTGAAGTGGTACAATCCTTGATATACCAGGAATCTAAAGGTCCCTGGTTCAATCCCGGGTTTCGGCAAGGAAAACTAGCAATGACTATTTTGATCAAATCTTATAAATTTTGCCATCATGTGAAATACCTTATTATAGTGTCAATGGCTAATTTCATCAATAAGGTTCCGTGGTGTAGTGGTTATCACATGTGCTTAACACGCACAGGGTCGTGGGTTCGAGCCCCACCGGAACCTCATTTTTGATTTCAGCTAGAAAATAACATGAATAACCCAATGAACCTCCCCACAAAAGGTTTTGTCAACCCTTACTCCCCTGTTGCATTGGACCACATGTTAATGTGATGGTTCAAGAAAACATTTTTGAAAAATTGCAATACTTGATTACTTGTCCATGTTACATTCTGGTGTAAAAAAAAGTATGAAGGCAAGTGTGCATTTAATTTTTTCATTTCTAGTTCACTAAATACAAGATGCAACAGGGATACTTTCCAGAAAAATAAGGGAGTACACATCATGTCTTCATACTTTATTTTGTACCAGAAAATAACATGTGCAAGTGAAGCAATTTTTTCTCTATTTTTTCTTGAACATGTGCCTAAAAATCCTGGTTAAGTCTGGCAGTTTTATCAAATATTATTTTCCATTATTTTGTGGAAATTTCAAATATTATACTGGGCCTTACATACTTTCCAATGTGAAGCCAGAATTGTGAAACTTTTAAAGTGGAGTGTATAGCAAAAGATTATAAACCTATTTATCCACCAGATGGACAAGGTACATAAAGTTGGTCTTTGATAACACTTTAACACCTTGACCCTTTTGGTAAATGTTCTTATCTTTAAGACTGATATTTTTATTTGCCATTTCAGTCATGGCCGAAATAGCTCAGTTGGGAGAGCGTTAGACTGAAGTGGTACAATCCTTGATATACCAGGAATCTAAAGGTCCCTGGTTCAATCCCGGGTTTCGGCAAGGAAAACTAGCAATGACTATTTTGATCAAATCTTATAAATTTTGCCATCATGTGAAATACCTTATTATAGTGTCAATGGCTAATTTCATCAATAAGGTTCCGTGGTGTAGTGGTTATCACATGTGCTTAACACGCACAGGGTCGTGGGTTCGAGCCCCACCGGAACCTCATTTTTAATTTCAGCAAAACATCCTTATGGTCTGAGATTAAATCTTTTTGGAACTACTTTCATGAGGAATTAAAAACAAATATGACCATGTGAAGTCAATATAGATAGTTTGGGGTTTCAAGTTAGCAGATATGAAGTACAGTGGAGGTTGTTCTTCGATTTTTTCCAATTTATTTCCATATGAGATGTCACCATATTGAAACTCTCTATTTTCACCTTGACCCTTTTGGTAAATGTTCTTATCTTTAAGACTGATATTTTTATTTGCCATTTCAGTCATAGCCGAAATAGCTCAGTTGGGAGAGCGTTAGACTGAAGTGGTACAATCCTTGATATACCAGGAATCTAAAGGTCCCTGGTTCAATCCCGGGTTTCGGCAAGGAAAACTAGCAATGACTATTTTGATCAAATCATATAAGTTTTGCCATCATGTGAAATACCTTATTATAGTGTCAATGGCTAATTTCATCAATAAGGTTCCGTGGTGTAGTGGTTATCACATGTGCTTAACACGCACAGGGTCGCGGGTTCGAGCCCCGCCGGAACCTCTTTTTACAATAATCAACTAGCATTCTCTAAGTCAGAATGTCACTCAATGCTAGGTCATCAGTCATCGCCGAAATAGCTCAGTTGGGAGAGCGTTAGACTGAAGTGGTACAATCCTTGATATACCAGGAATCTAAAGGTCCCTGGTTCAATCCTGGGTTTCGGCAAGGAAAACTAGCAATGACTATTTTGATCAAATCATATAAGTTTTGCCATCATGTGAAATACCTTATTACAATGTCAATGGTTAATTTCATCAATAAGGTTCTGTGGTGTAGTGGTTATCACATGTGCTTAACACGCACAGGGTCGTGGGTTCGAGCCCCACCGGAACCTCATTTTTAATTTCAGCAAAACATCCTTATGGTCGGAGATTAAATCTTTTTGGAACTACTTTCATGAGGAATTAAAAACAAATATGATCATGTGAAGTCAATATAGATAGTTTGGGGTTTCAAGTTAGCAGATATGAAGTACAGTGTAGGTTGTTCTTCGATTTTTTCCAATTTATTTCCATATGAGATGTTACCATATTGAAACTCTCTATTTTCACCTTAACCTGTTATGTAAATGTTCTTATCTTTAAGACTGATATTTTTATTGGATTTTCAGTCATAGCCGAAATAGCTCACTCTTTTTAATTTCGTTATTTAAATACTGTACATTCAAGACATTCTTCAATGACTACCTATTGTGGAGCTTTATGGTGCTATATTCAGAGTACATGTACCATATTGAAATGGTCCAGGATAGAAACTTATGGTTTTGAGTTTCAGCAAGGAAATATAGCACTAATGTGGCCACAAATTGTACTTATGGTTATTTTCATTAAGTTTAACCCCTCACATATTATTGTTGCTATTCTAACAAGGCATTAACTTGAAAATGTGACCACCTAGTTGCAATTCAAAAAGTGAAACCATTCGTTACAATTATTGATGATAAATGGTGGTAATAATAACATGTTACCAATTATTGGTGGTGAAATAAAAAGTAAAAATGAATCTACAATTCATATAATAATTTATTATCAACAAATAGTCACTAGATCTACATGATCCTGACTTAAAAGAATAATCAGTAACAACTAAGGTGGAATGATTCAAAACATATTCAGTTCTTTAATAACAAAACAGTCTTGCATAATATTCATGCACCAAATGGTATTCCACAAATTGCAAAGGTATCTTTGCGTAGTGGCCCTCCATTGTTTTACAGTATGACCTCTTTGCCTTTTTAAATTTAAGGCCAGGGTAAATAGACACATATGTTTAGCATTGTTTTGGTTTTTTGGGAGAAGATAATAAAGGTTTTCATTTAATTTTCTTAATTAATACAGTATCCCCATGTTTCTATGAATCATTTTACAAATCTCAGATGTATTGTAAATATAGGAAAAAAATCCAAAATATCAAAACAGCCTGAAGTTTGTGGGATGAAAATTAAAAAAAATATCACAAAACATTAACAAATGGTACAGCTCAGAAACATGTTTTGATAACATTAATTCACATCAACACTGATTATTATCTACATGTAGTCACATACCCATCTTTAAGCAAACATACAAAGAATACAAGCTATATCGTTATATAAACATAAATAATATTAACCAGAACAACGGCAATGCCAAAGCGTAGCGAATACCATCGAACAGCCATGGATGGCATTTTTACAAACAAAGTATATAGCAAAAATGGTGGCCATTTTGAAAAATGGCCGCCTTCTACCAAAAGTGTCATTAGACAATGTGCCATCCTTATAGTATTCACATACCAAATATGAACAAAATCGCTTCACTACTTTTCGAGTTAAAGTAAAATAGGTTAAAATGGCGGCAATTTTTCAAAATGGCGGCCATTTTAAATGGCCACTTTCTACCAAAAGTGTCTTTAGACAGTGTGCAATGTTTATAGTATTCACATACCAAATATGAACAAAATCGCTCCACTACTTTTCGAGTTACAGCAAAAATCGTAAAATAACGAGTAAAGGCTGCCATTTTTCAAGATGGCTGCCATGTGCTTCTTTAATATCTACATTTCTAGCTTTATTAATGCCCTATATAATTTTTTTACATCTAAAACATATTGCTATTACAGTTTTACATATTCCACCTAAATTACTGTAAATTCGGCACTAAAATGGTGGCCATTTTGAAATGAGCAGCCATTTTGAAAATCGGCTTTCGAGCAGAACTTCTACCCCCATAGGGCATATGTGTACGAAATATGAACAAAATCGGGCCAACAGTATTTGAGTTATTGCCCGGATGGACGGACGGAGGCGTTCCCTATATCCCTCCGAACTTCGTTCGATGGGACAATAAATACAACTGGATATATCCTATTCACAGCAAAACTTTAACACTAGACTAGATTTCATTTGACATTTCAGTTATTTATAGTAGGTGGATTCTTGCTCAATCCTGTTATAACTCTGACCATATCTCAGATAGTTTGAAATACAGGGTGACACAAAAATCTTGTGGAGTTCCTCCATGGAGTCTAGTTTTAACATGCTAAAGAACAAGTCAGAATTCATGCTGACAAAAAAGTTATGCAACAGTATAAAGGTGACATTTTTTGTGTCACCCTGTATCACCATAGGCTCTTTGTATAGAAGAATTTATTCTTGAGAAAAGAATATCAATTAAATACAGAATATCTCTCTTGGCTGAACACCTGTCTGTCAATGTGAACACCAAACTTCATTATGTAAACACAATGTGAACACCAAACTTCATTATGCAAACACATAGTCGAGTGAACACCTAGCAAATGTGTTTACTCTGCACGGGTTTTGCAACATATCTGCAACTATCGAGTTATCTTTTGTATGAAAATATGAAGGAATCTAATCAATTGATTCCTTTCTATGTAATCATACATTACATGGGATAATCCATTCTATAAAAATATTCAGTTTTTTGAAAAAGCAGTTTGCTCAATTGTATAATCCGGATTGCTGAAAAATGTCAAGATATGGGTCTTTTTGAATTTAAGAAATATTTTAGTCATTTTGCAATAATACCCTGTGAAAACTGGTTGTTTGTAAAAGACAACAAATATATCACAAAATTGTCATTTTTTATAGAAATTTCAGTCAGTATAAATATTGCATGCAACTTTTTCACAAATATGATATTAATATACACAATGTGCAGAGATCACGATAGTTGAAAAAACTTTAGCCAACCAAAATATGAATTAGCCATTTTGACCGAAAAAAATTAAACACTTCTAATGACTGTTTTCCTTTTAAAAAATGGAATAAAATACTCACTCCGGTGAAGCAGCCATGGCCTCCCACAGGCCCATTCCTCACGGAATTTGCGTTTAAGATTACCACATTTTTGAAGGACACAACTACCCCAGAGTGAATATACAGATACATGATGACGAGCCACAAGACTGATAGAGTTCCACTGTGAAATAGCATAGTGTGTAAAATTAATATACAGTATGTCGCATCATGAGTGACCAGAAATCTACTTTTCCGAAAAAGTTTTCTTCTGAAAAGTCGCTCAAATTCAACATCTATGAAGTTGTTTGGTGAGTAAACCGTAAAAAAGGGAATTCGCCATAACTGCGAAATACCTTTACATATTTTTCGCCACCTCTTTCGAAAATTCGCGAATGGCGAACGTCTACCGTGATCTCTGCAATGTGTAACCTTCAGTTAATCGACCAATGTTTTTGGCTGTAAAGTGACACCACTATTACACAATACATTAAATGATATGAGTCAACAACTGACCAGTACTATTTTCTCGGGATATTGGAACTTCAATTATATTAAAAACAAGTTGCTAATCATACACACTTTAGAGTGCTTTTATAGCTGCAGTGAATAAGCAAGCCTGAACAAGTCAATAATTGGTAGATTCAACTACACTCATACATCAGAAATGTGAAAATTATTTCATAGCCTTCTCTGACATTATAAATACAAATTATAATCGTTACACTTAGTTATTTCAGCTATTTCAGTCCAATCACAAGGACAGCATCATTATTTTTATTATAAACAGTTAGCGTGGGATTTCGTGAATGTTGATGGACAGATTGTATCCATAAATATTAAATCTGATCCCAATATCAGTTGATTGTCATTTATTGATCACTCTCAGATCAACCAAGTGATATTTATTGATGAATCTTTCGTAATTCTTGGATAGTTCATGTGTTATTTAATTATGAATCTTTTGTCATCCTTGGCTATCTCGATCATCACTCTCAGCTGAAACTTTTGTTGTCATCCTTAGATTCAAGGATTCATGGATCAGACATTTTTCTCTTTTGGATTATTCAGTTGTCATTTTTGGATCAGTGTTTTGTAATTCATGGATCATTTTGATCGCCATTTTTAGATCAATCAATTTTGATTCATTGCTCTGTTGATTGCCATTCATTAATAATGTCGACTGTCAACCAGGAATTGTCCAAGGAACAGGATACATTGTAAACCCTTACCAATTTATCTTCTCATTCTGGATTTGGAAGTAACATGCCTGAAAACAAAACAGACAAATAAAATCAACAAGATTTACCAATGTCCCGAGTACAGGGTGGCCCAAAATTCTCCATGGAGTATAATTTCAATGTGTCAAGGAAAAAGTAGGACATCATGGAGATAAAATATATGCAACGTTATGTGGGTGGCACTTTTTTGTGTTCCCCTCTGCAATCCATACCCCATCATACCATTACTTGACTCTCATTATCATTAGCTCAACAAGAGGCTGTACTTTCTCATTCGGTAGCATAAAGTGGCTAAGCAACAATCATTTGGATCTTTTTTCTCCCTAGGTTGACTTGATCTGTAAGATAGGGGCCAAACACCACAGGCCAAACACAATCAAAAAAAGTTAGACATTATAATACACTGATATGACTAAATATAAAGTTGATCGGTCTATCAATCATACTTTGAGTGTCGTGAACATTATTCCTAGTTCACCATGCTCCAAATGTGGTTCCATGAGGTCATCAATCCCATGAATCTCAGCTCCAAGATGGCGGATACGCGCTCTCACCACAACGTATTGGAAGACAGGGAACAGGTCATCCATAGACCAGAGATAGTCTGAACCCAGAGCATCTTGGACAGTCTGCAATAACAGTACAAATCAATTAAACATTATTGTCTGATACATAATAAGGATATACTAAAGATTTAGATACAGGGTTCATCCTAAAGAAAAATGGTTGATCTCATGATGGACCAGAGGGTGATACACATATTTCCAGAGGGGAAACAATGTATCTAGAACAGACCGTATATGCATCCCATTTCAACTGAGGTTCCACTTTCCATCATACTTTTGATATCAAACTTTTTTAAATGAATAGGAAATATAAACAAAAGTTAAGTTTGCTATGAGTCATTTTCCCAGGACAAATACAGAAAATGTCCAAGTTTGCGGTGTATTTGCGTAACACAAGTTCATGATTGTACATTTGCTATGTTAGATTAAAAGAATCTCAACAGAGTTTTTGTCCTCTGCTTTAATAATTACAAGAAAAGGAAAAATATTCATTTCATTTGAGGCATTCCATCAGCAACATATAGCTCATTAATGTATATTGCAAATCATAGCAGAAATGCTTTAAATTCATTGATATAGACTTAATGTTAATAGTAAACTATTGCAAATTACTATCTAAGTTCTAGTAGGAAGTGTTCACTGACCCTGTTCACTCCATCAAATGTTTTGTGGATTACTTTCAACTTCTCTGCAGGGCTGAATGTAGTGCTGAAACAGATAAGTTCAATTTAACTTCATTTATCTTGATTAAGTCTTCGGGAATAAAAACATCATAGATGCTCTAACAGTGCTGACTACTCATATGCTTCATCAGCAGTCTTAGGGGAGGCATCAAAAGTTCGATGCCGGATCGAAAACTAAATAAATCTCATTTCAGGCTTGCAAGTTTTTTGATCTATTTCTTGTTAAATTTTTGCGCCATCTTTATTAGTCGGCACTAAGAATAGACGTAGATTAGTTTACATACAATATTTTGAATTGAATTGAATTCCATGTACACTGTGCACATAAAATATTAAATCATCATGATTTTCAAAAAAATCTCTGATTAACTGGGAGGGGGATACTTACCTGATATGTTGTAATGTTTCTATGGCAACAGTATAACACTGGTCCTTGACACTTGACACTTGTGTGATGTCATTACTTTCAGTCTTCACTAACCAGAACTTCCTGCAAAACATGAGAGGAGGTAAAATTAGTAAATGGGAAATCATCCATTATTTCAGTGGCTCTGAGTCTGCCCATGGTTAAATTAGTACATGGGAACTAGTCCATACTTGATCAAAGTGGCTCTGAGTCAAAAAAAAAAAATTTGAAAAATTGCTCGTATATAATTAAATGGCATAAGTTCAGAGTCGAAAAAGGTTATTGATAGGTTGTGCTGAATATTTTTGATTTGGGTGTATTTTATGATGAGTTTGGGTGTATGTTATGATGAAATTGGGCACTTAAACATCTTGCACATCTGACATCAAATGAATTCAAAAAAAACAAACTGAGTTGCTGAGTTTGAGTAAGGTAGCCCCTAGAAATTACTTCTTTCAAAATGATCATTCTTTCTGATAAATTATTTCATGATTTGCAAAATCAATCAAATGTCAGTATCTAAGACTAAAAAAACAGCAACTCCATGGAGTAGTATATCCCAACGAACAATATATTCATGAATCTGTATATGTCACAATGTAATATTTGCAAAATTGGCAAATATTAAGACATACATTAGAGATATAACAGAATTTCCACTGATCTAATCATTTAGGTAACCATATAGGAGTTTTAAAGGTACAAATCATGAAGGCAATACAATATTTGAAATCTAATATAATAATGTAATAACAATACTTTGAAGAGATCTCTAAAAATAGTAAATTCCTGCTCTAGGCAGCCATTTTAAATGTTCTGCTGCATGAATCAGAAAAACAATATCCTAATTGTGATCTACTCTAAAATTCCTTTCAATTTGAATATAATATAGCAATACTTTGAAGAGATCAGAAAATTATTGAGAAATCCCACATGAGGCAGCAATTTTGAATTTTATGAGGCCCAAATCATAAAAATGAAACAATATTTGCAATCTACTCTAAATTGCCTTTCAACTGAGTAGAATGAAATTATACTAAAGAGAGATCTCAAAATTAAAAAAAATCTTATTTTTCAGACATCCCCTGGGGGTCAGGGTGAAAAACACGGCATTATATGTTGTGAATATACTATCAATATTTCGTACAATAATACTGATCACTTTGGTTTAAAATGAAACTTAAGATTTTCGGGAAAATTTCCCGTCATATATAAAGCAGCTACCATCTTGAAAAATGTTTTGCGTAAAACAATTCACCAATATACATCTTTCCACCAAATATGAAGGACCATATCAAACCACTGTGTCCCTTCTCTTAGTTTACCCTCTTTCAAAGAATAAATGTACTTCTTTCATGGTCATTTGATAATGGTGTCATATCGTTTTTAGTGCATATGCTTTTATTCCTTATTATAGATTTCTTGGTATATGAATTCAGCATGTCACACCTGTAACCTTGACTGTCATTTTTTTCCTAGGGTCGTAACTCTGTTGCTTCCATCCTTCAATTGACTGCGGATTCTTCAAATCGTTATTATTTGTGATATAAATATTCCATAGGACTGATTTCTAGGATTATTTCCAGATAAATCTGGATGAGGAGGGCTTCTTTATATCCCTACTGAACTTTATTCATTGGGATATTAAGTATTTGCCATTTTAAAGCCCTTCGGGACTACTGTGACCCTTGGCGATTGGATAACCTGAGGTCAAGGTCCTATAAAGGTCAATATTTAGGTATTTGGCGTATTAAGGTATTTGGGGGCTGCTGTGACCATTGGTGACCAATGATTAGGTGACCTAACGTCAAGGTCAATGTTTGGGTCTTTGCCCTAGCATTGCCACAAGTCCTTGTTATAACTAACCAAGGCACTCCCAAGGTTAACTCGACTCCTTTATAATTATTTATCAACATTTTTATCAAAAACCAATGTTGTGAGTGCTGATATAAATAAATGAGAAATCTTTGTGAATGGTACATTTGTTCAACAACAAAATGAAAGTTGTGTGTGTACTTCTTCTACTGGTTGCAGTCACTTTGGGTAAGATTGTACTTGCACTGAATAAAGCTTGCCATGTAGAGTCCAGTTCAATAAAGTTGTGCATCAATAAAACTTGAAAAATAAGAAATCAAAAGACCACAGATCAGTACTATATTGAGAATATATATTCATATTTTACATGCAAAATGTTTGTATATTTTTCAGGTCATATAAATGAGGTTTATAAATAAACTTGTGGCCTCTCATAATTCAGGAAGTTCCAGCCATGTTGATTTTTTGGAAAAAAATGTCAGACACACAGGAACACCTGGACAACAGTAAAGTCAGACACCGTTGTCACAAATGGAGGGATAACCATCGCTTCACCTGGTTCTCATTTAATGGGACCTTATTGTCGCTAATGCTATGTTTGTATTGAGCTTTTGTGATGGTGTATTATATGAAATCCCAATTTTGATCAAATGTGGTCCTAGTTCGCCACAATACACCGCCTTCCATATCGTCAATGACTACAGAATTCAAATAATTAATAGAGACAATGACACATTGTAAGATGTGACAATGCACTATCCATTGTCCTGTGTCATATTTTGATCAGTGAAATTATTTTTTTCGATTTGTTTTAAATTATTTATTTCATATATTCATATTATTGAGTTATACATATTATACCACCTAGGTTTGAACATAAACATTGATGGCAGTAGGTAAAAAGTAAAAAGTATATAAAATCATATAAGATATGAAATTTTATGATGTTGCACCATATTTAGGCTTAATGTATCAAAAATATATGAGTGGAAACTTAATGAGGACAAGTATATACAATCATATATGGATACAGGGCTAGGCAAGAGCTATCATTTCCATATTCTACTATATAAAATTGCAGTGAAATAAAGGATTTGAGTTTGAGGTGCTCTATCAAACATGCAGTTAATGAAAACTGAATCGAATATGAACCTGTAGATGCCATTTGTGACAACGGTATCTGAGTTAACCATTGTCAGGGTGTTCCAGTGTGTCAGAGAACCATTAAAATATACAAGAGGGCTACACATTTTATTCGCCATACCATAAACAATCCAAGATATAGAAACATTTCACATGAATGTATATTTCCAAATAATACTGCATTGTGGTCTTTTGATTTCTAATTTTTCAGGTTTTATTTTATTTATTATCCTTGTGTGCTTTTGTTATTAATAATACCATGGGCTTTCTCTAATTGAAAGCCCATGATAATATGTAAGATAACATAACTTTTGATGTTTCGTATGCAGCCCAAGAGGACTGTAATACAGCATGTACAACCGCCATAGATGCTACATACCAGAGAGGTGAATGTCACCCAGAAGATGAAAATGCAAGCAACTCTGGCTGCCCACAAGGCAGTGTAGATTATCTGGATATTTTGGAAAATATTTGCCCACAAGAAACTGAAGTTTGCTGTTGTTTCCCATAAACTCAAAATGTAAGTTCCTACAAGCGTATGTAATTCTTATTGCCTAATTAATTCAATCATGGACTAATGTGATAAATAACAAAGGGCAGATACATTATTTTAGCCTCAGAATAATCCTGATATACTGAACCTATCTTAGGATAATAATAGAGACACAAACACTTATTTATTTACTCATTTACTTATTTGGTTTCAGAATATATTATGAATCATATGTTTTCCCAAAATATGGTTACCCTATTTCTCTTTTGATCAATGCCACAAGTCTTCTTATTACCTCCATAGCCAAACCTTTCCCTCACAATTTAAGGGTGTATTTTTGCCATTTTAGATGAAAAGCAATAAAAAAAGCCTGGCAATAGGGTAATTTTTACTAAAATTCCTACTAAATTAAACATACAATGAGCAAGTAGGGGCTTACCAAGTTTTCATCTTCCATTTTATTTCTTCATGTAATAGCATAGGCAGCAGGTTTCAGAAAGATGGCAGCACTGGTCTTTCTTGAAAGAGAAGATATAAACAGACTACTAGTGCCATCTTTCTGCCAACCTAGTCTTTATGTCTTTATTCTTACTGTAACACATACATGTTCTCTCTTTCTATGTAAAATTATTATTGGCAATTATATGCACCTTGGGTGTGCCGTAGCCTGTATATTTTATGTATTATTACTGTATGTAAAATAAAATTACTTTAAAATTGAATTGAAAAAAATATCATTTTACTGTTTTTGTTTTAGATGATTGATGGGAGAAAACATGGATGTGATTTGATTTTCAAACAATTCTCTAAGCTAACTGTGAAATTACTGTAAGAAATGAAATAACAATAAATGTAAAATTTGATTTTTAGTAAGGTATGATATTGTTTTTTAATTTGACCTCACTTCCTATTTCGTTATTTGTTGATTTGAAAAGATTTCCTTTGGTTGTTCAAATGCTGCGTGGAGCAATCGATTAAAGTGATGGGTTTTAAATTTTTAAACCAGAGAGTGTGGGTTTGAAACCCGCCAGAATCTATTTTTTTCATTTTTAAACCATCCACAATACAGTCATTTTCTTGATCTCTTATTATATGTCACACTCATGTAGATCTATCAAGATATTTTTTGGCAATATGTGTCATTAAATACAATTGAATAATAATATTTTCCCACTGTTTCATAATATTCAAAGTTATTTTATATTTTTTTGAGGAAAATCTGAAATGTGAATTTTTATTTTTTTAAACAAATAAAAAAAATTCCCACTGAAAGCAATGTTAAATTAAAACATATTTTAGAAATAAACAAACCGTTAATCTTTCTAATTTTCACACAGTTTGTTATACATCAGCTTTTTTTCAAGAAAATCTGAATTGTAAAAAAGAGTCGGGCGACACTGAAGTTCTACCTTGAATTGGTAAAAAATCACTTACTCATGTACTCCAAGATATGCAAGTAGAGAAATATCTCCCTGTTTATTCCACTTCTGTAGACGTTCCCAGTATCGTTCATCCTCCCTCTCATTATATAAAGCATACAGAGTAAACAGAGGGGGGTAGATCTTAGGAAGTAACAGCGGATGTAGAAGTTCGGCTGCCGATATAATATCTCTAAAATAAAGCATGAGAAAAAATTGTGTAAATCTAAGAAGAGTCTTGGTATTAAAGGGGGATTTCTTGGGTTTTTAAATAATTTTAAGAAGAGGAGGGAAACCCCCAGAGCTTTAGCGATGACAGACATATATTCGTTTTCATACCATCCATTTTTGTTTGTGGATTTGGACCAATCAGAAGGATGGTCATCTCAATACATATTTACAATAAAGACGTAGGTCATCTTTGAACCCTGGGGTTTCTCCCCCTCTTAATTTTGAGCAAAGTTTTAGAGGGTTTACTGTTTAATGGTACAGTGTGAATAAATATGAAGCCCATTTACCATTTTAGCAAAAATAATTGTTCATATCTTATTCTTTCTACAAAATCAATTACTGGTACCAATTATTGGTATCTTATATCTTTTAGCAATTTTGACTAGTATAATACTTCATTAGATTATAACAATGAATAGTAAAATCTTTTCTCTTTGATCTCTTTGACCCAAGAAGAAACAAAATAATACAGAGGCAGATCTTGAAACTGAAAAGTGGGTCCAAAACATTTCAGAATTATTCGAAACAGGCACTTTTCTCAAAATGAGTTACAGAAAGGACTGTTTCTATGCCCAAAATAAAAATGCTGCCTCCCCTACAGATCAGCCAGTATGTAGAGTAGAGCATACCCATCAGCTTCCAAATCATCTATGCTAGTTATAGACTTGGACATAGTCTCCTCTATACTTTCTTTGTTGCTTGAGATCAACTGAACTGGAGTTGGTTCCACAGGGAGGTCTGGGAACAGCAACCTACATAGTAAAAGAAATACATCCTTTTTAAAAGTGTGAACTATGCAATGGTTATTGATCTAACATTCTTTACAAGGATGAATACAGATAATAAACTACACTAATGACACTATGACTTCGATTCGATAAAAATTCAAAATAAATGTTATACATTTGTAAATATGTTACATCTCTAACTAGTTCATATCTAAAAATAAGGTAAGTCCCATTTGAGGTGACATATATAGTGTAACAGCATTATAAAGTCTCAATGATTTCAAGATACCTAATTTCTTCAAAATATCCCAAATATTGTAAGAACATATGTTTTTCTTTGTTTAAAAGCAACACTGACTGCCTTTCTTAATAAATAATAATAATAGTAATTATTAATAGTATACACAGAATATATAAAATGATATCACAAGAAATGATCTGATATTGCACGTTAGGGCGAGATAATTTATTAAAATATTCCTGAGAGTCGAACCTTTTTTCTCTCATTCAACAGCGGACTTGAGGTACATATTGCTCTTGACCATGGTAAAAGGTTATTATCTCATAATTGCAACCAAAAATCTTAAAAAATTTCAATCTTCTCTATCAAATGGTCATGCTGCTGATAAATGATATTAGCCACATATGAGGGCTGATAAATGATTTTCTGCAAAATATCACACATACCTCCATAATATCAGGAATATCAATGAATGTTATCATACAGATAACACAATAATTGTTGAATAAAACAATATATCACTACTAACATGAATATACAATACAATAAAATATGAAAAAATATGACTACGCTAGTTCACTTACCTTATAATGGAATATATTCTGTTGATATAGGATTTCACCTCTAACACAGCATGATGTAGCAGTCTAGGGTGCGCCCCTACCCCAACATAGGTGGCTCTGTATACATCAACTATGCCTTCGACTAACTTTCCCAGGGGATGGAGGCATGTATCAAATGCCTAAAAGAAATAAAACAAAAAAGCGCTGCAAAGTCTTTATACACATTAGCTCACAATAAAACATTTTGTTACTTTTGGGACACCCTGTAGAACCAAATGGGCATCTTCAGAACTCTTTCTGCTTAATGTCCATGGATGCTACAGTGAATGGATATGTCTATGCATATCTCAAAGGTCCATGTGCAGTATGGCAAGTGATTTTAGGCAGTCATATCCTTCACCATGAGTATTTTCTGGGTATACAGTGGTTTTTATTAAAACAATATGTTTTCTTTAAAGTGACGTCCCCATGATGGTAAAATATCAATTCTACCCTCTGAAAAATTATGGATTAGGACCCCACCTTGTCACTTTTTTAAAAATGTAAGGCTTATTTTCTAAAAAGAAGATCTTGTTTTTCTCAATTTAAATGTCTCAAAAGTTTCTTCTACACTATATAAATAATTTCTGAAAAGGGGATGGGTATTGAAATGCGATAAAGTTAAGGAACAACGGACGGACGGACCAACAGACGGACGGACGCCTTTCCCATGTTATTTTTCCCATAGGGAAAACTCATGCTATCCATTGTTTTCAGCACGAAAATTTGAAAATTGATATCTTCAAAACTAGACTTTCAATACCATCCTACTTTAGAAGATGATTTAGACCCCTTGTTGAATAATGTTTTCAAGCAATAAAATCAGAAAAAGAAGATCCTCTTTTGAGCAAATAAGTTCAACATTTTGAAAGAATTGTTGTCTTGGGAACTTCACTTGAAAGAAAGCACTGTATTTATACCCAGAAAATACTCATGGTGAAAGATATGACTGTCTAAAATCACTTGCCATACTGCACATGGACCTTTAAGTACAGAATGATTTTATGCTGAGAATAACATAACAATTATTCTATTATTGTAATTTGTAGATGTGTCGATTCTAGACTTAATGGTAAATGAAGAATAATGATTGTGTACTAGAACATTCATCAGTTGATGCCACAGCTGTACGTGCAATGTACATTAAAAATTCAAATGAAATAAGAATAAATATTGCTTAACTTTTACAAGCATCTATAATGTAATACAGCAAGAGACCAGCCAGCAATAATCTTTCAAAAGCTAAATAAACAAGGAAAATAAAGGATTTGCAGCTGGAACATCAGTATGAGACTTTAGATAAGGAATGTTGAACTGAGTATCAACTGGGTAGATTGCATGGAAAGCAGCACATATCACTACTCCAGATATACATGATAAAGCAACCAGTACAAGAAATTAGATGCAGCTATCAATGACATGAGCTGTATGCAAACAACAGACATCAACAGCACCAAAATATTAAATGCAGCTATCAATGATTGAGCAACATTTCACACAGTCATTAACTGTATGTAAAAAATAGATGCAGACATCAACAACACCAAAATATTAGATGCAGCTATCAATGTTTCAGCAACATTTCACAGTCAGTAAACAATAGATGCAGCCATCAACAGCACCAAAATATTAGATGCAGCTATCAATGTTTCAGCAACATTTCACAGTCATTTACTGTATGTAAACAATAGATGCAGCCATCAACAGCACCAAAATATTAGATGCAGCTATCAATGTTTCAGCAACAGTTCACAGAGTCATGAACTGTATGTAAACAATAGATGCAGCTTTCAACACCATGGGAACATTAGGTACATTCATCAATGGTACAACATATAATGGTAGTTGTAATGCAATGCTCAGGTTGTTTCTGTCTTCTCCTTTCGGAATGCCGCTTTCATGGACTATTATTTGTGTTGGGATACTTGGCATTATCGGAAACATCCTTTCTGCCATTGTCCTTATAAGGAAATATAAACGTAGTCCCAGGGTGTTGCTATTGACAACATTGGCAATGATGGATCTTTGCTTTCTCTTCTTTACAATAATAGATCAAGCAATGACATATATTGGATTGGCGGTTCCAATTCATTTCATCTGGAAACTTTCCCTTAGGATACTAGACTTCTACTGGAGCATGCTTACCATCTGGACGGTTGTTCTCGTCACCATTGATCGCTTTATTCATATCTGTCTACCATTAAAGGCATTAACATTGTGTACAATGAAGTCAACACGTATACAGATTATCTGCATGGTTACATTCTGCATTGTGTTTGTGACCATTCTATTAGCTATTTTGTTCAAGAACATTACAATGACAGAGTGCTGGTTTATGGCAATAGAAATTAATTTCATAGAAACTAGAAGTTTCATACTATTTCTCATTCATCAAATCCTCACATATATCATCCCACCATTTTCAATCGCAATCCTGAATATGTTCATATTACGACAGATTTGTAAATGTAAGTCTGTTGAGGAAGGAATGCCGTCACTTGATGATAAACATGTCTCAAAAATTCTATTAACTGTCTCAATTACCTCTTTTTTTCTCATATCGCCATGTGCACTTTTTAAATTCAAGTTAACATATGATCCTGTGGATAACCTTTCCACTCTATCTCTGGTCATGAATTCCTCAATAAACTTTATTATCTATAATATTGTTGGGAGAACATTTCGTGACAAACTGATGGAACTGTGTTGTTGGAGAAACACCCAAAACAATGCAAACCAAAACGTGATCCCTATGCCTCCAAGGAGTGAGCAGCATTCCTAAAATTAACATTATTCTTCAAATCTTTAAACTGAGATTCATGGTCAATATGTTGATAAAATATTCAATCAGATTACATTTTGAATAGAAAAATGGTACTTTAAAATTAAAAATGTCTTGGTGTAGGGAATAATAGTCAGATAAATTGATATGATATATATGCATATAGGAAAATATTAATCATTTCATTATTTGTAAGTATTGTTTTTTGGATATGTTAAAATATTTCAAAAAATCCTTGCTCTAATCTTGCTTAACATAATTAAGATGTGTATAATAATGTGATGACCTCCGATAGCAAGTCGCTACTGCATTCTAAGCTGTAGTGGCTAGCCCTTCTGGTTCAGGGGTAGAGCGTCTGACTCAAGGGCGGAAGGTCCTGGATTCGATTCCCGTACGGGGCATTGAATTGTTTGTAAAATGATGAGCAAATAATTGACTTTTTAAAAATAAATCTACTTTTAACCTGTTAAATATAATTTCAGTTTTTCCAGTGATATCAAGTGATGTTATAATATTTATACATATTTCATTTCCAAGTTATAGATGCTCGAATCATGTAGAACATGGTCTCATAATCAATCAACTTAATTCTACAAAAATAATTGTACATATGAGCAAATGGTAATTTCATTTTCTAAATGTGTTGCCCTTTAAAGTATAACTGATTCTCCGTTAAAATTAATCTTACAAGTAATATCCTGTTAACTATCATTAATACTAATGCTATTCTATAATTTATATGCCACTCAGACTAATTGTTATTGTTACAAATGTTCTTTTCAGCAAATATTAGAGCTTGAAAAAACACAATGTATATTATTCGTGAATAAATTGCTTTTTAGGAATTTTTAGCAAAAAAACTTAAATTTGAAAATCACAATAACTGTCATGCATTTCATTAGAATTGAAAGGGGGGGGGGCTATAACCATGTTTAAAGCTTCTACTCATTTAACTCAACTAATGTCACAAAGAGTGGAGTATTATCCTGATTTATGTTTTCATTTATGTTTTCATAAGTCCCTCTGGCATCAGCATATAAATTGAAGCTAAATCCATGTACTGGTATTAAGGTATATAAGATTATATTTTTCACAAAAATAGTGGATATTTTGAATTGAGAGGGCATATTGAAAATTTCTTCTTGAGAGGAGGTCCTAAGGCATCAGCCTATAACATTCTAACCAAATCATTCACCAGGTTTTAAGTTATGCCTGGACAGAGAAATGAAAAAATCAATAGACAGACGAGTTGACAGATGGACAGCTTCTCTTATATGTCGCCTGAACTATGTTTGGTAGGATGATGAACAGCTTATTGTTTCAGCTAAATATGCTTGCAATCCTCGTGGGCCATCAACAATTTACTCAAGTTCTTTTGTTACTCCATCAAAGGAAATGGGAAAACATTCCATCAAAGGGAATGGGAAAACATTCCATCAGAGGGAAGGGGAAAAGATATTCATCTGAGATGAACTGATAAGTACATATTCCTCATGGAATATGGTAATATGCTTATGCCAAGATATTATAATAAACCTATTAAACCTTTGTGTATTCAATGTGCAAGTATCACATTTAACTTATGATGTGTTGAAACTAATAACCATTAATAATAAGAATACCAGTATGACTGTTGATATCTTTTACTGTATTCAAATTGTAAATAAAATGGCACTTTACTCCTAGGTTTCACTTACTGTATGTACTCCCGGTTAATTTCGCGAGTTTTAATTTAGTTTAATTTTTTTGACTACGTGGCTATTAAATTTCGCGGATTTCACAAGTATTATGTCATTACTCTTTAAATCCTCAAACTCTGTAAACTAAGCTGCCTTAAGTACAGTAATAACACCTACCCAATGTCATGTTTGGATAAGATTTGCAATTACTAGCATGTTGTTATCAGCATGTTGCACCTCACCCTTTTAATTGACAATTTTTCACAATTTCACCATAATCGCTTTTCAGTTTTAATGATTCTATAACCTCTATGACTATATAGGAAATCAACCCATCCTAAAAATCACATTTCAAAGAAAACTTACATTTCAGAGTCCACTTATAATTTTTCAAACAATATCTCAAAATGTACACATGGAGATTTCAAATATGATATCACTTTGACAAAATCTTAAAATATTTATTGAGTTAAGACAATAGTGAGGAGTACAAAAATATAATGGAAAATAAAGTCTATAATCTACGTAAACTAGGAAACAGCAACTTCCATGGCATAGCAAATCCAAACGAATAATATATTCATGAATCTGTATATGTCACAATATAATATTTACCATTTACTCTACCCTCGATTAGCAGATAATAAAAGACAGGCATGAAAGATATATCAGAATTTTC